GGGGAGCCCCCAGCCAGAGAAGGCCAATAAAGGAGCATGCAGCCCCTAACCGCCTGCTGCCTCTTCCAGCATGTGTCTAGGGAAACTGATGGAACTCACCTGATGTGCCTTTCTCAGCTTGGTCCCAACCCTGAGACACATTCTGGGAGGGGGGTACCAGCTCCAAGGAGATGATGACCTCCTCGTTGGTGGGCATTGACTTGATCATCATGGATGGTGGAATGACCGGCTGTGACTCCAGAACTTCCATATGTGGAAGGACACCTTCCTAGAGCTGTGTGAGTGGCTCACCCCTGCCTTCAGGTGATAGGACACCCACATGTGACCCGCCTTCCCCCTCCAGAAACAGGTCGCCATTGCTAGTTGGGAGCTCGCCACTCAGGTCAACTACTTCTTCATCGGGAACCAGTTCGGCCTGGGACTATCAACCATTGGGGCAGTGCTCATGCAGGTATAACTCTCTTACTATTGTCCCAGGGAGGTGGTGAACTACAGGAATGGGGTTCCCTAGGGAAGGGGGGTGATGGACTGTCCCTCCCTGGAGATTTTGCAGTCCCAGCTTCACAAAGCCCTGCTGGGGATGGGGTACATGGGGTTGCTCCTGCTGTGGGAAGGAGCTTGGGCTCAGGGAACTCCTGAGGGATTTGGCAACTCCGTGATTCTCTGTTTGTATCCTTTTACAGGTGGTGAGGGCCATCAATGCCATCCTGCTGTGCAGGATGGTCATCCTGGGTGAAGTGGACCCCACTGTCACTGGCATTGCTGCCATGGGCATCCCCAACCATGGGAGGGGCCACTGACAGCACCCACATCCCCATCCAGATCCCCAACTGTCAGTTCTCTGGGTATATCAACAGGAAGAGCTACTTTTCAGTGGTGCTGTAGGTCTTCATGGATCATTCACGCTGCTTCACCAACATTAACTTCCGGTGGTCGGGGAAGGCACACAGCACCTGAATAGTCCACAACTCCAGCCTCTTTCAGAGGATGCACGCATGCTGGCACATTTTCCCCTGACCACACCATCAGGGTTACATGATTATGTGTATTGTGGGAGACGCAGCCTACCCCTTGCTCCCCTGGCTGATGAAGCTCTATATGGGAAACCTGGACCCCACCAGCAGGTGCTGCATCTGGGAGAAGGGAGCCTTCAGCCACCCCAAAGGGAGATTCCAGTGTTTCCTCGCTTGCCTGGATCTTAGTGAAGAGAACATCCCCCAGGTGGCGGCGTCCTGCTGTGTCTTGCACAACCTGTGTGAGGACAAAAGGGAGATGTTTCTGCCATGGTGGGGGCAGAGGCCAAACAGTTGGTCAAGACCTTTGAGCAGCTGCATGCTGCTGCCATCTGGCATGTCCATTGGGGGCTGTGCACATCCAGGAGGCCCTGAGGGAAAGTTTCAGACAAGGCCAACTGTGGCACCCTCCCCAAGGCCTCCCCAGAAGTGGCCTCTGCATAGTCCCTGTGTATCTCTCCCCCTGACCTCTCCTTCCCCTGCCCACCTTTCCCTTCCTTCCCCTCTCCTGGGGTATGTCTACACTACCACCCTAGTTCGAACTAGGGTGGTAATGTAGGCAACGGGAGTTGCAAATGAAGCCCGAGATTTGAATTTCCCGGGCTTCATTTGCATAAAACTGTGCGCCGCCATTTTTAAATGTCCGCTGGTGCGGACTCCGTGCCGAGTGTAGCCGCGCGGCACGGAGTCCGCACTAGCGGACATTTAAAAATGGCGGCGCACAGTTTTATGCAAATGAAGCCCGGGAAATTCAAATCTCGGGCTTCATTTGCAACTCCCGTTGCCTACATTACCACCCTAGTTCGAACTAGGGTGGTAGTGTAGACATACCCGTGCAGACTAGGGATGTGAAGAACTAGTCAACTATTAGATAAGCAAATGCTTATTGGATAGTCAACAAACTTGTCGACTAGTTGCCCCCCTCTTTGCTGCCTCTAACAGAAAGAAGCAGCTGGGGGGGGGAGGGAGAAAGCGTTACTTAAAAGAGGCAGCAGCACATGGAGCTTGGGGCCAGACCCTGGGCTCCACGGAGCACTGCCACTTTGAAACGCTGCTGCAGTAGCCCGGCATCAGGCTACTTCCAGTATTTCAAAGTGATCCTGGGCTCCTTGCAGTGCTGCCACTTTGAAGCACTGCAGGAGCTCGCTGCCAGCATTTCAAAGTGGCAGCACCGCAAGGAGCTCCTGCCGGATGGTGTGCAGTTCCTGATCAGCATGGTGCTCCTCAAAGTTTGCATCCCACTTCTGCTCCTCCCACTTGAGACACCACTGCAGGGCACACATGCAGGCAAGCAATGTTTGGAGTGGGAGAGGGGTGACGGGGTGGTTTGCCTTTCCTCTGTGCCGTCTAACAGTGGTGGTATCCCAAA